CTGTGCCCCGGGCCCGCCAGCCGCTGTCGCTGCCCTGAAGCAGGAGGGTGCTGGGCACCCTGCGCCGGCTGGCCTCTCCCGGGGCGGGCGTGGGGCTCAGGCGCGCGGTCCTTGTCTCCCCGCAGACTTTAAGGACACGCTGAATAAAGTGTACGACGCCGTGGAGGAAGCGGACTTCCTGGCCATCGACGGGGAGTTCTCAGGTAGCTGCGGCGCGGCCCGGGGCTGCGGGCACCTGCCCCTGCTGCGCGGCCTTCCCTGCCTGCGGGGGCTTCGGGGGAGAGAGAAAGCACCTGCTGCCTCAGAGCAGGAGACGTAGACGGGTCAGGAAATGCCCAAGCGCGGCCAGCGCAGCCCTCTTCCCACTCATCCCCTTGCCCCCTGGTTTCGGCAACGCGAGGGCTCCTCGACGCCGTGTTGCCAGTCTCACACGTTGCTATGTCAGCCTCCCGTACCTTGCAGGCGTAGGGCAGAGCACAGCCTTCCCAGATACGCTCTGCACACGTAGCTTCACTGTCTGCTGGGAGTTGACTGAGCTTTGAATGACAGCAGTTAACTAGCATCTGTGTTTTCAAGATGCACGTTTTGTCCCTGATGGAAAGGTGCTTTTAGCAGAATGGGACCTTTCTGCTGCGATGTGATGTTCTGCACCTTAAGTAGAGGCAACTTGCTTAACCCAGCTTTTGGTGCTTTTTTCACTTACTCTCTTTAAGGAGGGTCAGTAAAATAAAACTATTCTCTGAATTTTTAGGCATCAGTGATGGGCCATCTGTTAGTGCATTAACCAATGGCTTTGACACACCAGAAGAAAGATACCAGAAACTTAAAAAGGTAACTTTTCAATGTAACCCCAGAAACATTTTGCCTTTCTTTGTAGGTGGCATAGCGTAACTGAGATTATCCCCATTTATTTCAGGCATGTATTAGTGTGTGATGTCAGGCACTGTATGGAGACCAGAAGATTTTTACTTGCCTTTTAAATATGGCTCAGAGAGAACGATTTGAACTACATGAATAAAATGTGGTTACTGTCGTAACTTTGCTTGTAGAATCCAGTATTAGCCTGATTATACAATACAGAAGTTGCTACACTTGGGTCAAAATACTTATTGACAAAAGCAATGCTGTGGGGTGGTGCACACACTTGTTCCCCGCTGAGCCAGATCAGAACTGAATAGGGCTGTGTTTTGCTTGGGGGGGCCCCTGGGATGAAAGGAGCTGTCACTTGCCCAGCTACTACTGAAATGCATGCCCATCAGGGCTGTGTACTCAGGAAATTTGGTATTAACTCCCCCCGAGTCCTCTGGCTTGTAACTTCAGTGTGTCCTGCTTTAGATGTATACACTTTAAAACAACAGATGAGTTTCAGTAGCCTAGTGCTATGATTATTATGAAGTTCCAACACTGCTTATTTTTTGAAGAGTTTTCTGCCACTGCTTTAGCAGTCAAGTGCTTGATGGCGCGATTGTAAAACATCTGTGCTCAGTCTGTGCTAGTGGTTCTGCCTGTGTGCATCGATGCTACCTGTATGCAGTACCAATAGGATGTAGTTGGGGAATGTCATCATTTATGTTAATACAGTATCTGATCCTGTGCTCAAAGGAGAAAAAAGCCACCAAACAGAAGCCCCGGCTCTGTCATATGAAATGGGGGTTTTACAAGGGTTCATGACTTGATTTTTTGAAGGACTGTTCTGTCACCAGTTAGAGGTTGGGAACATGGGGCTACAGTTCCTGCATTGCTGGTCATTGCTCCCACACCCCCCTGTGTAAAATCTTGGATCTGCTTCTGGAAGTTGGTAGTGCTTTAATAACAATTCAGATCTTGGATCTAGGATGACTGGAGAGAGAAGTCAAGATTTTACTAAATTAAAAAAATCACACTCGTGTTTTACTTAATATTTCTATAACTACAAGAAGGTAGAATAGTTATCCATTTTGTCTTGTTGGTTTTGTGTATTTGACAATACAGCCAGTTCCTCTGTTTTCATGCATACTGTCATTCAGAGTTGACTGGGTTTTGAGTCTAGTAATGGAATAGAAACTAAGGATTAAGTTGTAAAACCAAAGAAATTGGGGACAGCATTTGAGGCATGAACACCCTTTGAAACTACTTGTGAATCACGTAATTCATGCCAAGGAATATCACGTTTTCCCTGAGTTGCCTTATAGTTGTCTTTGAAAGTGCTTTCTAACTGTTTGGTTGTTTTGGTTTTTTTAACTTCCATTTTCCCTTTCCTTCCAGCATTCCATGGATTTCTTGCTGTTTCAGTTTGGCCTTTGCACTTTTAAATATGATCACACGGAAGAGAAGTATGTTGATCCCTTGACTTCTTGATATTTTTACTTGATAATATTGCTAAGCTCTCTGACTTATAGCTCTCATCTTTCACAGGTACATAATGAAGTCATTTAATTTCTATATTTTTCCAAAACCCTTCAACAGAAGTTCACCAGATGTCAAGTTTGTCTGTCAGGTTAGTGGAAAAACAAGTTTTTGTATATTTTGGGAATTTTTTTTCCTATTATTTTTTTTAAATACTTAGGAATATTTTTTTCTACTGTCAATTTAATTGGCTCTTTAACTATGTCAGCCTCTTGGTACAGGAATGATGCATTCTGAAGCTGAGCTGACACTGATACTCACAATGATGGCTTTTTTTGTTTGCTTGCTTGTTCCCAAAACTCATTGCTTTGTGAACAGTTAATAGGATTTCTTTGTCCATGGGATTCAGCCACAGCAGTTGGGTCCCTTCTGTGTTGCATCATTTCCCTTATTAAAAGTAGTGCATGAAAGACCAGAATTTGTAGCCAGAGTGAAGTGTTAAAAAATAAACAAAACAAAGTAGCTTTATGGTATCACTGTATGCTTGTTTTTTCTAATCCGACTCTTTCTGGACAGTTGTGATGCTGAACTCTTTTGCATAAACAAATATTATGCCTTGTAGTTTGACAGAGCACAAGGTATCAGTGCGCTGATACTTACCAGCTGGTATTTCCTGTTTATTGCAGCAAGTTATATACAGAATTATCGTTCACTCGCTCGCTCTGTTGCTTTCCCTGCTTTTTGTCATTAAAATCCTGTTATAATGTTCCTATTAGGTTTTGACCCAAATGAATTAGTTCTGTAGGTTGCTCTGGTTAGGAGAAACTGAAGTTTGCTTATGGTATCTTGTTTGTATACTTCTTGTAAACAAACTCCTATGCTCTGAATACAAGGAATGAAACAAGGGGCAGTTTTCTTGCTCAGTCCCAAATCCTCTTCATCCAGCACTAGAGGCCTGCTCTGTTATTTTGCCCTTGAGAAAAGCTGCTTTTTGGTTTTAGGTTGCTGTTTGGTGTAAAGGAGCATCTGTTTCTTATAGTTATCATAAGTGAAGAGCTGTGGTTTCATCACTGGCTTCAATGAACATTTTCATTTACAATAATATTTCAGATTTCTAATTACCACCAAGACTACTGCCTTCTTGCTTTCCCTGTTGTCCTGGACATTAAGTCTCTCTCATTGCTAAAGCAACTCCTTCAGGGCTTTTGGAATGTCACTTGCTTCATTTGTCACATTACCTGTGATTCAATAGCTAAACAGTGTTATGTAATCCTAACATGGATTTTTTTGGTAATTATTCAAATGCTGTTCTTCAAACAATTGACCACTTATTATGACTTAGTATTTAGGTCTTGGGATATATTTATCCATAATACAAAAATCACAGACCATCTAAGAACAACTGACACCATAGTTCTGGAGAGTTATGATGCAAGTCCCTTTACATTAAATGTTATAATTATTTTTATAAATTATTTTATTGCATAGTCTAAATTTACATTAATTCTATGAACTTAAGAAAGGGAAGTCACAGTAATTATGAAAAAAGAATGGAGCTAGAATGTTTTTGTTTGTTTTTTTTAAACCCAAGCTGGTTTCAGCAAATTTACTTCATTTACCACTGACGAAATTTTATTTATAAAGCTATTTCTTTTCATTTCAGAGTTCAAGTATAGACTTTTTAGCAAACCAAGGATTTGATTTTAATAAAGTTTTTCGCAATGGTAAGCTTCATCTTTCAATACCTCTAAAACTGTTAGAACAATATTTTTCCCCCCCCACCCTCCCCCCCGGGGAATAAAATAGGTAGCTGATTTTTGTCATGTAATCTCACCTCTTCGTAAAGTGTGTAAGGCCATAGCCTATCTAGTATCTTAATTATGCAGATAGGATTTTATACAGTGATTTGTGGGGGGGAGGGCGGGTGATGACAAAATGGCTGTACCCATTGAGATTTTCTTGCTTAAAAAGTGTAGTGTCTACTTGTTTTGAGCATATTTTGCCCATAGTAGTAGAAGGTACATTGGCACAAGTGCAGCCTAACTAAATATTTTCAAGGTTTTTTGGAAGTATCATGGAAAAGGAGAGTATTTTTGATAATTGTGGTAACACCTGGAAAACCATTAGAGGCATCAGACCCCAAAGTCCATCAAATTATATGAGGCTCTGTTCCAGATAGGTGGGTCTGCCTGTAAGACTCATAGAAGCACTGATCTTGCAGTCTAACTTAACAAATCCTGAAGGTGCCAGCTGTTGTGGTTGGCACTTAAAAGAATCCACTGCATCTGAAGAGAAGAAACAAGAGGTCTACAAGATACACTAGAAGTGTACAGATGTCTTTTTCTTTTTGTTTGAGTATAACTTGAAATCTGTTTCATCTAATGATCAAGCTTTTCTGAACTAAACAGTCTTGCAATGCTTTCAATGATGATGACAAATTACAATGTCTGTTCTAGGAATACCATATTTAAATCAGGAAGAAGAAAGACAGTTACGGGAGCAGTATGATGAAAAACGTTCTCAAGCCAATGGTGCTGGTTCCCTGTCATATATTTCTCCTAATGCCACAAAATGTCCTGTGACAATTCCTGAAGATCAGAAAAAATTCATTGAGAGAGTGGTGTAAGTAGAAAAATAAAGTATTGCTATCCTGACATACTCCTTGTTCCTTAGGTGGTAGAGCACAATTTTTTAATTTTAATTTTTGCACAATTACTGATCCAATTTGTTAATCTTGCCAAGAAATGGAACACTATTAGCCATACTTTCCTTTGAGTGAATTTTTGTTTGGGAATGTGCAACTCTTGTTTTTTTTAAACAGACTATCTTTTTGCTACTAGAGATCTTTCAATACTTTGTCTTCAATATAAGTGTCTCTTGGTTATTTCGTTTTGCCTGGTGACAGCGCTCAAAGGACTTTATCATTAATATTCAGTGAGACCAGTTTTAATCCAGTTGTCAGTGTGTGAATATCTTAGTTAAAAAAAAAAAAAAATGGTCATATATGCTCCTGGGCTTCACAAGCGCTTACGTTTGTGTCTGTATTCCATTGATTTCTTAATTTGTAACCCAAAGTATTAACATTTGTCTCTATACTACTGTTTCTTCGAAGTCAATATAAACAGTAGCAGCGTATATATGCTAAACAAGTCCTTATAAGTATTAATAGATTATTAAAGCATTTATATCATTGTGAAAGTAAGGGGTTATATTAATGCAAGGGGGAAAAAAACTGATCTGCTTAATCTGTTTCTTCCAGGGAGCGAATAGAAGATTTCTTAAAGAATGAAGAAAATGAAAGTTTGGAACTGGAGCCATGCACAGGGTCAGCTTCTGAAAATAAACTTTGTAAATGGTCAAACCTCTCCTGTATCAGAAAATACATGTGACCTAGTAAGGAGGTATAGAGTGGGGAAATTTATGGCAGATCTCAATATACTTAGTTCCAAAGACTAAGTTGGACTGAATACTGAAAGCTGGCATGCTGGCACAGGGCTTTGTTTTTGCCTGGATATCATGCTGTACTTTAAAAAGCAAAACTTTTGTGTGGTAATTCTGAAGTTATGATGTAGTATCAGTACATCTGGGTACGGTAGAAGTCTGCTGTTGGTCATTTTAAAGTTCTCTCTAAGATTTAGAGGTGCTTTTGCTAATGAGTAATGATTTTATCTAAACCTCAGTATCAATAAATCTAGTTTATTTTGGCATATTTCCTGTTGATTACTGTGATTCCTTTTTAAAACATTGCCATCTTAATTGGTGTGCTTCATAAGTTTGACTAGCAGGTGACTTTTGTGGTGATTTAAAATTTGGAAGCCCTAGACTGTGTGTTTTATGAACTGGGTAAAGCAAGAATAGGATGAAATTACTGAACTAACCAGATTACTAAGGACATGGGTATAGCTCTTAATAGGTTTTAATAAGAAAAACAAAGATAAGTAATTGATGAAGTACTACTTTTTAGCAAGTAACTTTTATCAGAGGGGTAATTGTGGAAGTACTGTTAGTAACTATTGTTTAATATATAATCACTTTGTCTGAAATCAAGCTCTAGTTTGCTAATTCTCCTTCAAAAGTCATGGCTACTGATAATACCATTAATTGCTTTACATTAAAAATGCCTTTAGATATTAGAATTAGATCTTCTTTTACCATGATTATTCTACAATAATTACGTATGATAGTCATTAATAACATGATTTTTTTTTGCTTTTAGATTTCAGAGGAAATTAATTTATCAGACAGTGAGCTGGAAGTAAGTTATTTATAGCTTTTCATTATTGTATATGTATGCAGTTTCTTAAATGAGAATCTGTAAGTTGATATAATTAATCTAAATGCAATGTGTATCAGACTTCCTTAGAAAATACTATCTTATAACATGAAACTGAGCGGATATTTATAGGTTAAAGAGTTCATTGGTAATTAAAAGAATGTTCTTATTTTATTTTGAGCATATCTGTTTTATTTCTAACTAAAATTAATTGAGTAGTGCAGTGTGGCAGATTATAGTGGTCATGTAATAGCATGATACTCAGTGCATAGTTATTGCTGAACATCTGAACAGCTAGCGTCTATTTCTGCACAGTAGGGTAAAACCAAACAGCGACCCGCAGACTAAAGCAGGGGCAGGCAATTATTTCAGGCAGAGGGCCGCTTACTGAATTTTGGCAGGCCATTGAGGGCTGCGTGACACGCAACCAGGTGCAGATAAATATTGATTTTTCTAAATTTTTTAGGGGCCCCGCAGGCCAGATAGAATGGCCTGGTAGGCCACATCCAGCCTGCAGGCCACATTTTCATAGATTCTAGGGTCGGAAGGGACCTCAATAGATTGAGTCCGACCCCCTGCATAGGCAGGAAAAAGTGCTGGGTCTAGACGACCCCAGCTAGATGGGTATCTCACCTC